TTTCAGTTGGAGGGAAGATTAGCAGGATTAAGACTAGCTCACATATGCTGCTCTTCACTATTGGCATTCAACACAACATAAGCCCAACTGCCACCCAGACGGAGAAAGAAAGAGAGATGTAGAGGGTGAGAGTGAAAGTTTTCTTCTGATATTAAAGCAATGCACTCTGAATCAAAACTGTTTGGAATAGTTGTAGAAGAAAAAAGGCTGTTTAGTGAGAAAAGAAACTGTTGGATGGTGAGGGGAAGGAATCGGGACGGATGAGGGTGCAGAAGTTCGTTAAATTAAACTGTAAGTTATGATGAGAAAAAATATTTAATATTGAGCACTATTTCAGTATTATACAAATCTGTGACTGATCATTTGAACTTCTTTACATGACCAGCTTTGAGTTGTGGAGTTCATGCAGTTCGACTTCAAAAAGGAGGACAAAAATACTATTAAATTATGAAATTTATGTTAGTTTTTCAATTCATATTTTCACTTGCAATGCTGATAACATAATTCAATGTTTGTTTTAATAAACCCTTTTCACAACGTGTTTCAACAGTTATATTGCAATTCTATCATTTTTTTTTTATATATTTTAATTTAAAAGAAAATGTAATGTACATCTATAACACAATACTTTGTAGTATATTACCTTGGCAATACATTTAAAAAAACTAGGTAACACCACTGTGTGGATGTTTCCATTACAATGGCAGAAAGAGTGACAGCAAATTTGACTCTTCTGTAACTGGGGTCTATTAATAGATTGTGTGTCACAATATATTGCAATACATAAATGCAACAATATGTTTCGTGGATAGTGACAATATGTATTGTGGATAGTCTACCCAAAATAAAAATTACTATGTGAGAAAAAAATCAGAATTGTACTGCCATTATACATTAAACTATTATATATAACATTGAATATAATGATGCTATGGGGAATATTTATGGGTCCTGATAATGCAGAATGTCTTATGTTACCAGTAAAAAGTGGCCTATATATACTATTTTAAATATCTAGTCAGTGACAGAGTGCAAGCATATTTCATTTTATTCTTTTGTCACTATTGTGCAAGCCAAGCCCATTCAGTACACCCCCAATGTAATACCAAATTTAGCATTTTAATTAGTCATTTTTCTAAATTGAACATTTTATCATATGTCTTGGAGTATCGCAATACTAGTGAGTTCAGTATCGTGATATGTATTGAATCATGACAGGTATCCCCCTTTTTTGTGCTATTGGAAGATAAATGAGATGTAGTTTCCATTCACCATACCTTTACACATATGTGAAAAGGATCCGTTAAAAAAATATGCAAAATAGAATCATTTCCACTATTGGTTTTAAACTTTATCCCATTTTCATTTATTTTCCAAAACAAACAGACACAAAAAGAAGATGAAACAGCGGAAAATGTTGAAGAAGTAAAAAGTGCCGAGACATAAGTAACAAAGTAGCTACTACTGTGCTTATGTTGAGTTTTTAGTTTTGGGTTTTGCAGAAAAAAGCTGAAAGTGAACTCCAGCTGGATTCATTAACTTAAGTATGACTGCAGTTACAGCACTGGCTAATTTAGCTCTTGGGGTTAACAGTTTTTACACATATACACACCCTCTGCCCACCTCATTATTGGAATGCACACGCAAACACATCATTATCTCATAAAGGTAATGAGAAAAGAAGAGGATTTGCCAACAGGCGGAAATTAGCACTCAGTCTCCCTCCACACTCAACAGCCAGGCTAACATTCATTCACCCTGAGGTGGCAAAAGCTCTCGTATCTAACGTTTCTCTCTCTCTCCCTCTTTCTCTGAGGCAGGAAAGGTGTTGTGTTAAACAAATAGCTTTTAATTAAACGACTGAACGACATAAAATGGAGCCAGTTCTGTATTTCTGTCATTTCAGTTGATTTAATTCTCTGCACCTGAACTGTGAAGCTTGAATAAGCGGTGACATGCTGTCTGGAAACCGACATTAATGCAAATATGTCAAAATTCAGGAAAATTGTTAATTGAAATGTTTTAAAACCGAAAACGACATGCCAAACCTGAATAAAGCATCACTTTGCATCAGTGTACATTTTATGCATTGCCTTTTACATTCCAACGCATTCTCACCCCAAGGCGTCACCTTTGACCATGCTTCAATATTTGACGTTTTAGGCGCCCTTTAGCGTCACTTACATGACGCGATCCTACGGCGTCAACTGACTGACGCTAAAGGAAAGCGTCAGTTAGAGGACGCGGTTAGGTTTAGGTGTGGGGTGGGGGTAGGGTACACGCGATCCTAGGGCGTCATCTAACTGACGCTAAAGGGCGCCTAAAGCGTCAGATATTGAAGCATGTCCAAATGCTTCCCAAGGCGTCAGTTAGGTGACGCCTTGGGAGTGAGAATGGGCTGTACATTCAATAATCACAATTGCAACAATGACATTGTGCATTATGAACTGATTGCTCATTATTGGCTTCTTAGAATCACTCTTGTTGCCAGTGTTTAAGTATTGTTTAAGCAGCTCTGTTAGAAGGAGTGTACATCTTTTTCATTGCCTCAATGTAATCTAAATCAAGAGGTAATGACGTCAGTCATGGATGCTCTTAATTAGTCTTAATTGGCAACATTCTCGGCGGACTACAGTTACCAAAGTTGGGATGAATGGAGCGCAGACCAACCCCTGTCTTTCTCTCTCTGTAATTGCTCCCAAGACAGTTGTCAGTCAGTGTGTGTTGTGTGGGTGTGTGTGAATTTGTGTGCATTGCATTCTTCCCCGAGTGACATTTCAGATAATTATATGCGCGAGGAATAAACTGCAGCTCCGACAATAGGGCTCTTTCTGTCCCCCCGTTTCTAATCCAGACAGTCGCGGCATATATTACCATTTTGGTACACTTAACAAGTGAGATTACCGGAATTCATAATGAAGGAACTGAACTGCAACTTCTCTCCGACACCGACGGTTTAAACCATCTCATTTGCATAAGCGTATTTAACGAGAGTAAACAAGCAAACAGACAGACGGGACTGTCCGCACGGGGAAAACAACCTAACAACAACAGCTCATAGATGCTTCAGTGAAAATATGTTAAAGACCTTGATCTGGTGATGTCTCTCCTAAATTCACTGATACGTCTGTTAAATCTGCACCTGTGGAGTCAGATATGAACGAACACATTTGCAGACTCTATCTATCTATCTATCTATCTATCTATCTATCTATCTATCTATCTATCTATCTATCTATCTATCTATCTATCTATCTATCTATCTATCTATCTATCTATCTATCTATCTATTACACTTTAATCTAAATACACTTTAATCTAAATACACTTTAGTTGCCTATAGCGCCAAATGTTTATTCATGGCTATGTTCAATAAATTTCCAATGTATACATTATACATATTATACATTATAATAATTATACATTATAATTATACATTATAATACATTATACATTATGCCTATAGCCTATTAGAGAAATTTGCTCATAAATATTGGCACTGTATAGCTGTAGCCAGCTACATGTTTACGTCCTCCTCTTTTACTCCAAACAAAAACTTTTGTTCGTCCATATTGGCCTAATTGAAATGTTTCAGATCATAACCGTTAAAACATTTTGCACGCCTCGTTTCCTACCGTTTTAAATGCGTTTAACGGCTGAAATGAGTCAGCTGTCAGGCGTCCGCATGGGGTCACCGGGTTAAAACAATATGATTCAAACCGCAAAACAGTGTCTGCAACCGACCGCGCTCAATCCTGCGCGGGAAATACACACACGATCACGAAGAACAACTTGCATCGGCATCCATCTTCACACCACGCATTGCAGGCTATATAATGGCTAAAGAATTGACCATACCTTATATGAAAAATAGGCCTATAATTATTTTTTAATTGTCAATTTATTACATATCTAGGCTAGTCTAATTTTAGTCTAGTGAAAATATTAAAATGTTGAGTGCATTTTTTTTTTAATTTCCCAACAATGTGCAGGGCATTTGGAGTTAGGACAGGACTTTAAACACAATACAAAATTGTCAAACAAAGTTCCCTGAAAGTTTTCATCTTGAAGACCCATGCACCACCTGACTTAACTCAACTAAAAGCTTCAGTAGGTAGCTACAGATTGCAGTTTGTTTAACCGACTCACTGTAATCTAAACACGACGATGTTCTGTGACTGTGAGGATGCACCATATGCGAAGTGTGTCTAATGCAGTTAATGAAGCCTCAGTTTTTTTTTTTTTTTTGTTTTTTTTTGGTTGGTTGGTAGTTTTTTTTCCCTCAGATTTTCGGACCCCCACCCACTGAAGCTCATTGGTTCTTGACGGGCTGTCGGAAAAGCGTTGACATTGTCCCGGTGACTTGCCCCCGGGTGATGGGGAGGAGGGATCTACTATAAAATAACCCTCGTCACTCTCGGGCGTGCCAAACACAAACAGTCCACGAGTGAACTGGAATAACACACCAACAATACACACCAACACGCGCTTGCACCTGCTACCGGTAAGTTTGAATAAATAGAAAATAAATGCAATGATTTGGTGACTTTTATATATATATAAAAAAGTATTAATACAATGTTGCCAACAATTAGTAAACGCCTATATGATTTAAATGATGAAATTATGTTCTCCTTCCAATGATTCAGTTTAATATTTGTTTATATGCTAGGCTACTATTATATGATTTAGCTATTAGATAATCTCTAAATGTTTTCATAATAGCCTAATATTTGTATAGTTTGCTTTTCGCCGCTAAACTCGCAAACTGTGTACAAACTTCAACAGCTTTACTTTAGGGAACTTATGGGGTTAGATAGTTTAGCTATATGAATTTCTGTAGGCTACTCTTAATTTGCTCTATTGTATTTAATTAAATCATATACGCTTTTGTACTTTTAGTTTTTAATTTCTTAATACATTTATTTCGTTGTAAAATGTATTTTGTTGTTATTTTGTTTTTAATCATTACCTTCTTTTAAAGGAATTGACATCTGCGAGGGCACTGAACATCATGGACTCCGACACGAGCCGAGTGTCCAGTAGACCTTCTTCTCCTGAAGGCGATGATCTCTTCCTGTCAGCAGTCAAGAAGTCCGTGGGTTTCTCCGGCGCCGTCTCCTCCACGCAGAGCGATTCTCCTTCGGAGTTAAGAGGCGCAGATCTGCATGGCAGCTCTAGCGCCGATGAGGAATCAATGGCTCTGAAGATGCTCTCCAAAAAGGACCGTAAACTTCTATCCGAGAACGAGCTGCAGAGTATGCGCCTCAAGATCAACAGCCGCGAGAGGAAGCGCATGCACGACCTCAATATCGCCATGGACGGGCTCCGGGAGGTCATGCCCTATGCCCACGGGCCATCCGTGCGCAAGCTCTCCAAAATAGCCACCTTGCTGCTCGCGCGCAACTACATCCTTATGCTGAGCAACTCGCTGGAGGAGATGAAACGGCTCGTGAGCGAGATCTACGGTGGAGGGAGCGGGGCCCATCACGCCGGGTTCCACCCGTCCGGTTGCGGCACCCTTGCACACGCGGCCGCTCCGTTAGCGGGTCACCCTGCTGCTGTCTCGCATTCCTCTCACCCGGTACATCATCCTCTGCTACCACCAGCAGTTTCCAGTGCCGCATCTCTCTCCGGCCCGGGTCTCTCAGCCGTCAGACCGCATCACGGACTCCTCAAGGCACCATCGACCTCAGGGCCACTCGGCGCTGGTTTCCAGCACTGGGGTCCCGGGATCCCGTGCCCGTGTAGCATGTGCCAGGTGCCCCCGCCTCATGTGTCCGGTATGAGCACCGTCAGCATGCCACGACTGACCAGTGACTCAAAATAAAAAATAAAAAATAAAAACTTTGAGGACAGAACTCTGAGAACGAACCATAGACTTTTATATATATATATATAAAATTGTATTATCTTGTGTTTATCATGAATGAACAATTTGGAAAGCACGAGATCTGAAGCGAAGAAGAATGAATCAAAGCCACTAACATAGGTTTCTAACACTTTAGAGATATTAGGGTTATCCATGTGCATTTCTGTGTATGAAGTTTGTGAAAATGGTTTAGCCTTCAAGCCTGAGATTGCTACGAAAGAACGAAGTTTAATATGAAATAGAGTTAATAAAATAAATCCGACCTGTTCATGCCTCATTTAAAGAGAGGGCTAAATAGTTGGGCCTTTAGCCTACTATTAGACGAAACGAAATTATACATTAACATGTCATAAGGTTTTGAAAAACATAATAGGATAAATGTTGTGTATATATGTAGATAGCGTTTGTACAGTTTGAGAGATTTTATATTACTTTCTTAGTTTATATTCGGGGTCAGAATGCATTTGCCAAGCGCTGTCTAACAGGAAAGATGCACACTCTCTCTCTCTCTCTCTCTCTCTCTCTCTCTCTCTCTCTCTCTCTCTCTCTCTCTCTCTCTCTCTCTCTCTCTCTCTCTCTCTATAGTTTTCTGTCTTTCCATCTTTGTTGTTTTTTATTTAGGCTACTTCTTTCTGCACAAACTTACCCGTCATTGACGATGCGAAAAATTATCAACTTTTATTTTTTATAATAAAGTGCAAAATGATATTTATTTACTTATTTTGATGGTATTTTCAAATTAATGTGCGGTGAATGTTTGTCATAACTGTAAAATAAATGTTTTAAACTGATGCATTTATTTACTTGTTTGTGCTTTATCAATTAACCCAATTGTTTTTTTTTCCCCAGTGGAAGCTCAAATAAATTCTACACTTTCAAAATGAACACGATCTATCTATCTATCTATCTATCTATCTATCTATCTATCTATCTATCTATCTATCTATCTATCTATCTATCTATCTATCTATCTATCTATCTATCTATCTATCTATCTATCTATCACTTAAAATGTTAAAAGAAAGAAAATTTAAAAAAGTTCAGCGCAATTATTTTGACGAAGGAAGATAAAAACTTTTCCTTCACATTTAGATAACGGTATGCTTTTTTCGAAAACAAATAACCACTCATTCGATTGTGATCAGAACAAACAGAGAGTGCTCAGACCGACACCATTTATTTATTGTAAACTAGAACAAAGATGTCCTAAAAAGAGTGAGCATGTTAATAACTTGAGATTATTGACAGACGCTAAACCATCTGAGGCAGAAGTTATTTTAAAAACCACAGGTTACAGTTTAATAGTTTATATAGTACAATTGATATAAAAAGTTATTACGATTTACGCATTATATCAGAATGTATAGGCCTACAGACAAATTAAACTAAACTGAATACCGAATTTATTTGTTTAACCAAATACCAGTAATAATACAAAACAGAGAGATAATATGAATGTATTGTGCATTCTAATTAACGAAATTAAACAAATGTATGCTCAACTTTTGCGCACTTAAAAAGCTTTCGTCACTGTCCATTTGCGTTCAAATGAAAATTATGTCTTAACCCGTTACCGTGGAACACTAATCATTGATTAAAAAGACAGAAAAACTGAGGAGGCAAAATATATAAATATATATAGTCATATAGAAAACAAGTTGATTGAGATAGAAGGAATATGTCAATGCCTTTTCCGTAATTTGGTTGATCTATGACATCGTGCTGTGGAATTCGCCTTTATTTCCTCACTTCTCATGTGACCTGTGAACACCCTTACCTGTCAAAGCAAACAATTCTTCTGCATTGGGCACCTTTCCAAATGAGACCTTGGAGATTTTCTTATTAACTTTTATGAAGCGCATAATTCTGGGAAAAAATAAGATTACCCTCATGTTTTTTAAGCCTCAAGGAGACGATCATTTATTTAGAATGCAAAAAACGCATTTGCCGTCTTGCACTACACAAACATACAGAAAAAGAAGATGCGAGATGGAGGGAATAAATAAAGGAGTATTAGGTGGAATACATAACTAAACGCCAGCAGCTGGATGGCAGATTGCTCTTTCTGTTGCAATGTTTTCCAAGGGATTTTTGAGCTGGAACGATACGGAGTAAAGCTGCCATTTGAATATTCATATTTGCAACTTGTTTATTTGTTTTAAAATGCATTAAATTATATTATTATAATAATTAACCATATTCATTTTGAATTAGGCATTCAAACGGCATTTTTTATTTTATATGGACAAACTGATTCTTTTATGAGATTTTTTCTTTATGTAAACTGTTCCATTTGCATATTTTATTTGCCGCTTAATCCATATGAATTTTGGCCATTTCAATAACATATTTATTACACAACCAAATAGTCTAAATTCAACAAAAAAGGGCTCATACGCAACAACAAATATTTACGCATAAGTTTCAAGCTTCAATGAAAAAAAGTTTCAGTAGCAGTCAGTGTAATAGTAATTTTGACTCCAGATTGAGCTCCATGAAAGCAAACAGGCTGCTGATGTCTTGTCTTCCTTCACTAACATCTGCTTGTTAGTAATCTTCAGCCGCCTCGCCCATTTGCTCCGCGTAAAATGCAATTACTTCGAAAGGTAATGAGAATTACACGCTATCACGTTTCCAAATTAATCAGAGCAGCACCTCCCCCGCGGAGCCACTGGACAGAACAACTTAACGCAGGTCTCCTCTCACTCTGATTACTGATAGCCTACATTAGGCCTACTGTATTTACCGATACTATAGGCATCAGTAATAACGCAGATCTAACGTGAATAAAGTGTCAGTACTTTATTATGCCACCACACCGATTGATTCGAATATCAGTTCACTTAAACAAAATGACACAGACTAAACCCAGCAAACACAGAACGTTCCCGTCCCATGAGGTTATTTTTTGGGAACCACGTTATAGGGACGTTCCATGTATGTTTTTAGGTTCCATTTTTATAACGCAATAAGAATGTTCCGGGAACGTTCCCTTAACCTTAATCTTTAGTTCTAAGTTCTGGGAACCAAAATCTAACGTTCCCAGAACGTTCCCAGAACCTAAATTTGTTTGCTGGGAATGTATCTGTTGCATTGCATAATGTAACAATTTAGAAAAAGTTATTATATAGGCGAAATTAAACTTTTTGAATAACATGCCAAACTACAGCATTGTGTTTAGTGTTTAATATTTATGTGTTTGTGATGGTTTTCAGATCTTAAAACATTCTTAAATCCTCTGATTCAGCACAGATGTTGGGCCATTCAGAGGCAAACACTGGGCCTTGTTAGTCCAAAGGATTAGACGGAGAGGATTGAAGAGATGCATCAAAGGTGGTGGAAAAACACAAATAATGTAAATTAAGAAACAGCAAATAAAAATTAGCAAATAAACGAAGTGCATCTGGGAGAAAACTAAAAAAAAGTAACAAGAAAGAGAGATGGGGAGAGAAGTAAAGTTATTCTCTCGGTCTTGAATTCGAGTCTAAAATGTGTTTCGGCCTCTCAGTTTCATTGATCCATCATCGTTATTGCAAGTGTCAGTCATTTATCACGTAATCATTCCAAGAAGTGCATTTTAGAGGAGAAGCAGACGGATGATTTGAGGAACCTGTACAGTGGCCATATGAGACCACACGTCCCCTGGGACAAGTGTTTATCTCACCCTCCATCATCTGTTCTTCCTTATGTAACACGACACACCCCATGGAGCTGAGGGCATCCTCACATAAAAGACATTTTTATTTTAGTTCATTGAGATTCATTAGGAAAGTGTCATGTGATGATTGCATAATTAATCAGCCTGATAAGTAAAAAATAAAATAAAAATTTGATTGGAACTATACATGCATAAATGGCCAATACATTCTGCTGCATTAACTTAATTTCTCATACACTTGTGATTTACTGCCTTTTTTGGTCAAAACTGGCCAACATGCAAATCCTTTATCAGAACTGTACACAGTAAAAAAAAAATAAAATAAATAAAAAAATCCCGTATTTTTTATGGAATAATGCTGGCAACTTTGGTTGCCTGAACAATCAAAAATACATTAAAACAGTAATCACCTTTACAGTAATAGACCGTATTTCATTTTCTGAAATCTGTTGTCCAACCTTTTGAAAAATGTATTTCTGTTTTGTAATGTAATACACTGACAATAATCAATCATGTCAGTCAGCCCATTCTCACCCCCAAGGCGTCACTTAACTGACGCCTTGGGAAGCATTTGGACATGCTTCAATATCTGACGCTTTAGGCGCCCTTTAGCGTCAGTTAGATGACGCCCTAGGATCGCGTGTACCCTACCCCCACCCCACACCTAAACCTAACCGCGTCCTCTAACTGACGCTTTCCTTTAGCGTCAGTTAGATGACGCCGTAAGATCGCGTCATGTAAGTGACGCTAAAGGGCGCCTAAAACGTCAAATATTGAAGCATGGTCAAAGGTGACGCCTTGGGGTGAGAATGCGTCAGTAGTGACGAAAGTTACATGAGCAAACAAAACTTGTCTTCCATTAAAGGTCAATATTTTTTTTTTGAAGAAGAAGCTGCACACTGTCATTCACACAAATTTAAACACCATCATGATAACACGTGAAATTAAAAAATGCAATAAACATTAATTGAACAACCTTAAATGTAACATAAAACCCTACATATTCTGATTAAAAAAACAAACAAGAAAATTATGAGGAAACAGTTATTTCAACAAAAATACATCAAATGTGAAGTGTGACGCAGGGAATTGTGGGAATGTCAATTTACGTTTTTCACTGTAAATTATACAATGAGTTGTTCTTTTTCACTTGCAAAAACTGTAAATTTAATGGTATTTTACAGTAAAATTATATCACAGTTATTTACCGTATATAGTATGAAAACTTTCTGTTAAACAATTAACAGTTTTGCCCTGTAGCATTACAGTCTTTTATCATTAAAATTACAATTATTATTTTTTTTACAGTGTAGCTAAAACAGCAACTTGTATTTGTTTCCTTAATAAACTGTCTAACTTTTCCCTTTTTTGTGTTATGGTTTTAGTTTTTTTTTTACATTGATTAATTAATTTGGATGTTGTTTAATTTTTTCAGTTTAGAATGAGAATAAATGTGTTAAGCAGTCTTTTGATGTTAAAACGTCAATATGTGTGATGTACATTATATTTTTAACATTATACCCAGCACCTGGGTAAACATAATAAAAAAGAATCCTGCAAAATGACCCAACTGACTAAACCGAACATTTGGGTAAAAAAAAAAAAAAATTATTTGAAGTTGTCTCTGTTGCAACTGGGCTTTTGGAAGAGAGAGACAGCCAGTGCAGCGTGCCCATGTGTTGTTTGCAGGTCATGAGCTCGGGTGCCAGTGTGCACCTACAAGATTTAAAGCCAATGCACTCTCTTACAGCCTGGATCAATGTGTTTACTGAAAGAGTCAATGTGTTTACTGAAAGAGACTAAGACAGATGGAGCAGAGAAATAGAGAGAAAGAAAAAAGACTCAAAGGAGTGTAAGATAGATAGAAAGATGTGTCATTAGGAATGTTTGAGCGGTTAAAGAAAGAGGGGATAATCCCGTAAGGGGCTGAACTCTTGGATATTCATGACTGGCCGAGTGTGGATGCGCTGTGAAAAGAGGACAGGGCCAGGACAACTTAACATCAAAGAGCACCATGGGAGCTCCGCAGGCCAATGAGGGTTTGTGGCTGCTGGACCTTTTGTTTGTGGCTTTGTTGCTGTCCAGCTGAACTCTTTCAGAGACATGATCTTATGAGCAGTGTTCCTCCTTTCAGAAGAAAAAAAACAAAACAAAACTGTGTGTACCCGATAAACTCTAAATGACTTTGTCCTGCAATCTGATCCTGTTCTGGCATATGTTTCTGCGTTTCAATCCACTGGGAACACTGTTCTCTCTCCTGCAAAATCATATTAGTAACTTTATGGAGTGAGAAACTTTTTCACTTCTGTCGCCACACACACACTTTCACGTGCACATGCATTTAGATGGTGTGTGTTGTGTGTGCTCATGTGTCAGGGCGGTTGATGGATGGTTGGGTGATAGAGGTGTTCAGCTCTCAGTTTGCATGGGTCGCCTGACTCTTCTTTTCTCTCATTTATCTTCACTCGTTTTCAGCCTCCTTGACAAGCATCTGAGAATCCATCCTTCATCAGGCCTGAATGGACGGCAGAAGTTGCAACACCGAAAAGCTAAATTAGCTCTGAAAATGACTCTGTACGCATGCTATGTTCAGTATCAACCAATGGAACATCACAAAGCTTTGTTGACTATATCGCGAATTTTGTTTGGTTAATTATTTTTTTTCCTATTAACTTTTACTCCAGTGACTTTCTGCCCTTTAGCCTATGATCTTGACAGTGGGTGTGTGTGCTTCCGTTTTTTTCTTTTTCTTTTTTTTTGGGCCTCTGGCTTATTGCTTTTCATGTTGTCTCGTTAACTCGGCTAGTCACTGAGTTATTCCTTGTCTTCTCTTCAAACCTAATGTGATGTCAACTCATCTATCACATCCCAAGAGCATTCACGTTCCCTTATGGAAGGGAAGTTCAATCCAAAGTCTTTTTTAAAGCAAATGAGCCCATCTTGTCAGCCGTCAATGGCCCTGGCTAGACATTGACTTTAAATTAACCAGAAGTGTTTATAATCCTTAAGTTTCAATAACATCGAATCACCAACGTTTGGCAACCAAACCATTTTTTTGGGAGAACATTTAAATGGATTAAGGGGAATGAAGAGTAAAAGAAGTAGAATTCATTGTAAAGTAGTTCATTTAAAGGAGTCATGAACTGGCTTTTTAAATTGTATTATATTGTTGTCTGAGGTCAACTTATGATGTTCGCTTGGTTTTATAATAAGCAGCTTCGGAAAGATTAAATATTGGGGAGACAATAAGGCCATATGTGATTATTGGGAGGGACCCTTCAAAGTCTATGGTGGTTATAGCCCTGGCACTGTGTTCATTTGAATTTAATTTAAATAAACACTCACAAACTGTACAACAATAACACATAGAAACTAAATGGTGGATTGGAGATCCAGCAGTGTTCGTAGAAAGCTCAAAACGGACATTGGGTGGGAATTGATCTAGAAATTGTTACAACTGAATTTACATGTCAATATCGATAAAGAAGTGAATTATGAGGCGAACTGACAAAACTCAACGGTCTTTGCATTTATTCCTGCAAAGATATCAACAAAAAGGTGAGAGAAAAAAAAACCCTTTAAAAACCATGAAATGGAAATCTGCCTCACAAAAGGTTTACTTTTTGTTGTTGTTGCATGAATCCTTTTGGCATGGCGTTCTGCAATGCATATGTTCAATGTGACGTGTCAAAGTGAGTGCTCTTATTAGTGAAATTTGACACACATGGCAGCTGGCACTGAGTAGCCCCTGACAGCTATAATCAGTGTGTCCTCAGCAGGGCCGCTTCAGAGCGTGTGTTTAAAGAACGATTCCCAACACTGGACGTCACTGACTGTGTATGATTTTGAAACAGTGTCAACTGTTCTTCGGGCAACTTGACAAAAGGCCCATGGGGTGACTCTTCTCCTGACTTCATCCATCTGAGAAGCCAACCGTTCTGTCCAGGCCAACCTTTCCCAGAGCATGCTGGGAGTCACAATACCCAGCCTTCAGCTCATTGGTTCCGCCCTATTAACAGCTTGTAATCTTCTCATATCCATGGCCGCCGGCCCACAGCAACACGTCAAGCAGGGTTTGCAGTGCTCTGAAGCTCTAGACAGCTCACCTCCCCCCTGTCAACTGTTTTAGAGCATCTCCACCAGATACACACTCATTTTTAGAGGCTACTTTGTGGAGAACGTGAAACGTCTGATGGAGGTGTAGGCCCTCCAGCTTCGCCCTCCACACCTGCTCCCCTCCAGGGGAGAGAAAGAGAGAATAAAGTTGTGACATCTGTTAATTTCTCATTAGAACTTTTCTTTATGCAAGTTTGTTGGTGTGCGAGACAGCTCCGCAGTACGTGCAGTACGGACACAAGCTGGCGAAGGGCTGGCCAGCCGGCGGTTGAAATATCACGCTCGGCATTTAGCAGACGTTTCTCGGAGTCCATGGTCTGGTAATGAATATGGAAGCAGACCTTCTCCATTTCAATGTTCCGGATTTTATGCATCAGCTTGTGTTGTGACCTTCCACATCATGAAAAACAGTTAGCAGTGCAAGCTGTCAAAGTTAGCACAGGTAGTCCAACTTCTTTATGCCCAATGTTTCCTTGTTGTTTGTGTTTTAGTTTCTGGGCAATTAGAGGTATTGTGATGTTTCTGCTGGTGCACAGATTTATTTTTTGGTCTTCTTCTGTCTTGCCTTTGTGCTGCACGATCCTTCACCTAAACACAAAAAATAAGGAAATGGATTGGGAAATTTGTTACAAAATGAAATACTTTATACGACTGGCTCACAAAACTGAATATCTGTCATTTACTCACCAATATACTCATCTGCTCTGTAGACCATAAAGGGCAAAATGTTCAGAAATGTCCTGCAATCACTTTTCCATACAAACACAAAGTGAATGGAGCAGTAACTCACATGACTTGGCAAACTTCAGAGGGTATCTGTATGTTTAAGGGAAATAAATGTAAAAACATATAAGACTTTTTAATGTAAATAATAAAATAATTCAGAATTTTTAAATATTTGTAACGATCCATAGATAGTAAAGGTTTCAACACTACATATATTGTTTATATAAATTAGTAATAAAGGTATAGAGTACATACCTGTTCAACTGCTCAATGGAAGCAACTCAGTGCATTTAGGCTTGTAGATATGGTCAAGAAGACGATCTGCAGAAATGTGATTCTAGTGACTTTAAATGTTTGTTGGCTAGTCGAAGTATTTTGGAAAATGTTAATCTACTGGGATTTCCAGGCACAACTACAGTATAGGGTTTATAGGGTTTAGAGAATGGTCCAAAAAAGAGAAAATGTCCAGTGAGCGGCAGTTCTGATATAAAGCTGATATAAAGGCAACGGTATTTTAAATAAAAACTCATTGCAACTGTGCAAAAGAGTATCTCTGAACACACAACACGTCAACCTTGAAGCAGGTAGGATACAGCAGCAGAATGAACACACCGGGTGTCACTCCTGTCAACTATGAAGCTACAATTAGTATGGGCTCACTAAATTGGTCCAACGAGATATTACCAAAGTGTACCTAATAAAGTGGCCGGTGAATGTGTGTGTGTATTTTTTTTATGTATGCAGCTCCAGAGACCCAGCCTGAGCTTTTTATTACAAGCATAATGAAGCTATCGTATGTACGTGTGTGTGTGTGTCTCAGAGATGGGAACCCCAGCGGTGCCAAGTGGACACCACCTAAGCCAGGCGTTTTACTGGTAACTACAGGAAACAGGCTTGGTGTGAATGAGCTGATTGAACCCCCAGGTGCAGCTCCAGAGACCCAGCCCAAGCTCGCCGGCTTGGCCCAGACGGAAAACACTCTGGGCCCCACAAAGACAGCCCTCATCTCCCCCGCTGCCCGTCTCCACCGGTCCCTGACCTGCTCCAGCCTCGCTCTGAAATCCACGGAGGCAATGGGCGCTGGGGGCAGGGGATACGGATGTGAGCCCCCCGGCACCGCGCCACCCCATTCAACCCCCCACAAGCTGGAAGGAAGGACGGAGTGAGCGGGAGGGGGGCGGTGTTGCGGGTGGACACCAGGTTCTTTCTTTCCCTCTCTTTTTCATCTCTTCTCTCTGTCTCTGTGTCAGAGCAGGTGTCCCTTTCGGCCCTCTCTTCTCACCCTCCCTCCTTTCGGTTGCCGTTTCTTTTCACACACACGTTCACAGACATACAGCTGACGAACATCCCAGCTCTAATCCATCACAGGCTGTCTTTTATAGGTCAGCTAGAAGCACACACAATTCCACACACACCGACACACTGGCAGGTTGTGTTCTGTTGCCCTGCAGGTGCCTGGCGTTGCGATTGCTCTTTTAAATTCTCTTTCCTGTCTGAGCCTATGAGTATGTGCGCATGGATGCCATGATACCATTCACCAGGACCGGGTGCCGCAACCTTCTTACCCTCCTCTCACCCCTGCGAGACAAACAGGAGATTCTATGTTCTCACCTCCCGCTCTCAACGTGAACAACATGCTTTCTGTTTACGTCTCTTCCTTCCTCTCACAGTTAGAGGGAGGCTAATTGAAAGTGTGTCAATAGTTTGGTAAAAGAGACAATTGCACCGCTTATATGTTTTACAATCAGTCTTGCCCTGGGTATGTCCGGTGTGCCACCTGTGACGAGAATCATTAGGCCTTCTGTCTGTTGGCTCACTTGTTCATCTGCTTCCCCATTCAGTTGCTGAAAATCAATGTCACAATGCGTCCTATGCATGCAAGAAAATCTCACAGTATTGCATTGAGATGAAGACATCATCATATCCCATTCAACAAACATGAGGCATGTGCTTACGATCAGGGTTTTCAACCATTGGAAATGATGATCAAATCATTAGCATGGAGGGCAGATGAGGGGGCGTCAAGAGAGAGAGAGAGAGAGTGACAGAGTAACTCATTAGCTCATTATAGCAGTACTTCTCTCATATTCTTCCAATAGTTAGGAGCGTGTTAGTTAGCCGCGGTTTAAAGATCTTTATAAAGGACAACTACAGTCTAGTTTATCTAATTGAGCCTTTAACTATTATTGTTTTTAAGGAAGATTAACTTATGACTAGAATATGGACTTGAAGAAGTGAACTGCGGAATCCCAGAAGAAGATCTGGAGTGTGTGGATCAAAAGCTTGAAGGTAAAGTCTTTGCCTACTAGAAAGACTGAGCAATATGACAACTGAACTTTAAAGAGATTATTCACCCAAAGATAAAAATGTCATCATTTACTCACCTCTAAGCCATTCCAAATCTGTATGACTTTCTTTCCTCTGTGGAACACAAAATAATATATTTTGAAAAATGTCCCAGTGTTTGAGGTTTTGAGTGTGCCTGATTTTATTATTTGGAAAAAAAATAGTTCTTCACATTCTTCACAAAATAAATAGTCCCACACGGTTGGAACGACATGAGGTTGAATAATGATGGAATTTATATTTTTGTTTTGAGTGAACTGAAACTTTAATCCATATATCCCAAAGGTATTTTCAAATCCCTCATTTCGATTCAATTACTTCTCTTACTCATGTTTTCTGAATATCTTCTTCAGAATGCAGACTGTGCCTGGTTTAAGGTGCAGAGAGCAGGGCGAAGACTCTTTACAGCAACTCATGCCAAGAATGGTACGAGTAACCGGAGCAGGAGGACCGACCTCCAATGCTGTGGGTCTCCATGGACATCTCAGATCTTCGAAACCCCCTCGTGAGCTTAGTGTTGAGGAGCAACAGGAGCTGCGGAGAAAGATCAACAGCCGTGAGAGGAAGAGAATGCAGGACCTCAATGTGGCTATGGATGCTTTAAGGGAAGTAATGGTGCCTTACTCTTCTTCTCCCACCGGTGTAGGGGGAGCACTGCAGCACCCTTACCTTCCGACCGGAGCCCCTCCGACTGGAAGGCGCCTGTCCAAAATCTCCACGCTGGTGCTGGCCCGTAACTACATCCTACTCCTTGGCTCTTCCTTGCAGGAGATGCGGCGTCTGCTGGGCGAGGTCAGCATTGGCATGGGCGTCAGTGGAACTGTACCACGTCTACTGCTAACAGGAGGGTGGCCATTTCTCACCGGGCCGGGACAGCTTCTGCTTTCCTCCCCTGAGCAGCAACTGGTTGTGGCAAAGTGCCCTCTCCTGCCTCAGGGAGCCCAGGAGGAGCCCTTGGCTTGGGGGTCAAGCAGCATGACGGAGAGCCTGGTGTGCCAGTGTGGGGTGTGCAGGACCCCACGTGTGGTGCATGTTAATCCCGCCACACGTTTCCCAAAGTGATTCCAACATGCCTAGGAGAAAGACTAAAAAAGAACGATACAACGACATGCAGTTTTTTTAATGTCTGAGGAGGGTGAGGTGTCTGGTTATTTAATTGTATCGTAACACTCTACAATAAGGTCCAATTTGTTAACCTTAGGGATAGTTTATCTTACATTTACATTTAGCTGACGCTTTTATCCAAAGCGACTTACAATTGCTATATATGTCAGAGGTCGCACACCTCTGAGGCAACTAAGTGTCTTGCTGAGGGACACATTGGTGTCTCACAGTGGATTCAAACCCGGGTCTCTCACACCCAAGCCATGTGTCTCATCCACTGCACCATCACCACCAACCCACCGTTTACTGTTTTCCACAGAAGAAAAAGGTTCTTAAACAATCTTTGAGCAATTCTTTTAAAGCAATGTTAATTTCTACATATACTAATACATGTTGAACATTTCAAGTGTTTTAAACTTGAATGTGCAAAAATGCATTAGCTAATGTAAACAAATTGAAACTTTTGGTAAAGTGTTATCAGTTTATCTTTCTGCAAAATCTTCTAGCCTTAATGTCTCGTGTTTGCTTAGAATTAAACTAGTATACTGAAACAGTGTGTGTGTGTGCCTGTTGTTTAAAACTAGTGCAAAAGTTAATCTTTAAACACATATCCTGTTTTTCCCTCTTGTTCTCTATCAGAGTAAGCTTGCGCATGCTTGTGTGCTCGGCTGCATCCAAACGGATTGAAATAATTAATTGTGCACCCCTTTTGCAGCACAAGGACGGAGCCTTTCTTTCACCCCAGCCTTGCCTGAACCCACCCCATTCAACTCCCCAAACAAACCCCATAATAATTAGCCCACACTCTTTCTCCAACCTCACCGCCTATAATCCACTCCCTCGTTCGCTGCTTGTCGAGGTAAATGCGTTTACACGGGCCAGTGTGGCGCCATTCATTACTCTCCGTGAACAACACATTCAAACGGCCAGAAAATGTGTTTCTACCAAAAGAGTTCACTTACCTAAATTACAAACAACACCCTCTCCTGCACCCAAACTCTGACATCCACCCCTCCGAAGGCCGGGCAGTTGAAAAAAAAGAAGAAGCAATTCTTTCAATGTCGGGGCACGGTGAAAGCCATGAAAGAGAGGGAAAAGCAATTCCATCTTGTGGATAGGGGTGCATGAATGAGAATGCAGATTATAATCATAAGAATACTGATAAAATACAAGGAATAATCGGCCCTGCGGCAAAAAGGGGATTAGTCCGGCCAGGCGCGTGAAAGAGGGCGAGAGGCTGAATGGAAAGAGTCTGTTGCCCATCGCCCAGGACAAAAGGAGAGGTATATGCCATTAAGTGAGATTAGGGTTAATAGGCCTTGATTTTCTTACAAGGAGGTAAAAAAAGAAAAAGAAGTACAGAGGGGGGAGAGGTGGGACAGAGAAGTGGGAAAGATCAAAGTAAGACCCTCCGACTTAAAACCCTTCTCTTTGCGAGGACGCACACACTCACTTTAACTTGCCACCTCTTACATTTACATATAGCTGCCTTATGTCCGCTGACAACTTGAAGAGATTACCTCACTAATTTCACCTCACTTCAGTGCTTTTCTTAAAGCCATCTTCCCCTGTCGTACTCTCCTGAGGTGATAACTTTCTCTCTGATGATGGTAGGCGTATTGTGAGAAGAATGTAGGGGTCTGCTCTCTCTTTGTGTTCGTTGTTCAGCTCATCAGTGCAGCTAAATCCAGCCAAAACAAAGTGAGACAAAAGAAGAGAAAGTAGAACGGGGTGTCCTATTGTTTACCACTAAATGCCAATGTGTCCTGGTTATACTTCACTGACTATGGCCCTAACAACCACTGGGTGTTGAAAAGAGAATATCTGACATCTGTACTGTGAATTCACAAAATTTCAAAAATTTCATTTTTGTAAAACCAGTTAATTAAGCGTTTTAGGAACGTATACAGCCCATTCTCACTCCCAAGGCGTCACCTAACTGACGCCTTGGGAAGCATTTGGACATGCTTCAATATCTGACGCTTTAGGCGCCCTTTAGCGTCAGTTAGATGACGCCCTAGGATCGCGTGTACCCTACCCCCACCCCACACCTAAACCTAACCGCGTCCTCTAACTGACGCTTTCCTTTAGCGTCAGTTAGATGACGCCATAGGATCGCGTCATGTAAGTGACGCTAAAGGGCGCCTAAAACGTCAAATATTGAAGCATGGTCAAAGGTGACGCCTTGGGGTGAGAATGCGTTGACGTATATACAAATTTTGATTCTTAGAACAAATAGGCAAAAATGTCGAACATGTTCAAATCTAAATGTATGCTGAAAAAAGTTAACTTTTAAAAAAAACTTTTGCTGATAATTTACTCATCCCCATGTCATCCAAGATGTCCATGTCTTTCTTTCTTCAGTCAAAAAGAAATTAAGGTTTTTGATAAAAAACATTCCAGGATTTTTCTCCATATGATGGACTTTACTGGTAACCAAACGGTTCAAGGTCCAAAAGACATTTTCAGTGCAAACTGCAAACTGTTCAAAGGGCTTTAAACGACTCCAGACGATGAATAAGGGTCTTATCAAGCGAAACGATCGCTCATTAAAAAAAAAAGTTTAAGTTTTAGTTGACTCTCCTGTTCGAACTCTTTTATCAAAATGAATGAATCTTTTTTCGTGTCATTTGGTTCATTCAACAAACGAAATTAATGTATTGACTCGGAAAAAGATTCGCTCATTTTTATGAACGAGTTCAAATAGGAGAGTCATGAACGCGCATCACAGAACAGAGTAAGGCGACCATTTGAGCTTATAAAACTTAAACTTTGTTATTTTTTTTAAAAAATGATGAATTGTTTCGCTTGATAAGACCCTTATTCATAGTCTGGAATCGTCCACTGAAACTGTCTTTTGGACCTTGAACCGTTTGCTTACCAGTAAATTCCATTATATGGAGAAAAATTCTGGAATATTTTCATCAAAAACCTTAATTTCTTTTTGACTGAAGAAAGAAAGACATGGACATCTTGGATGACATGGGGGAGAGTAGATTATCAGCATTTTTTTTTTTAAAGTGAACTACTCCTTTAAATCATCAGGTTTGTTTCTAATGTTTTAGTGCCCAAAAATGTTTCCTAAAAAAAAAAAAAAAAAAAAAAAAAAATCTAACAAAACTTCTTTTTTGGGACGTCCTCAAATGACATGGTTTTAAAAATGCTAAAACAATTAATGCTAAAAACTCTCTATTTTTATATTTTAAATGATATTGTATATTAAATGTATTAGCTTTATTGAATAACAATAGAAATCTAGCAAGGTAAACATGCAAATGTTTTAGTAACCGAGACAGGCCAAGTTTAAGACTGATCGAGGGCCATCCATCCTTAGCTATGGGTGAAAAGATGAGTGTGAGAAGATCTCCACTCCTCCTTTCAGAGCCTCTGCACATGTCTCAGGATTTATTTCTCTTCTCTTCGGCTTCTTTATTCCAGCAACCCGGCCAAAAAAACACCAATCTCTTTGTGACTTATGAAGGGTTAGAGAGTCATCAATATATCACACACACACACACACACACACACACAAAGAAACATATGCATTTTTTAACATTACATTTCTTAATCGTGTTTTTATGTTCATATTCACTATGCATTATAAGCACCACTCTTCCTATTTCTAAACTTTAATGTGCAATTTCTGTCAAGAACATTAACGATGCCTTAAATGTTGCAGCTGACTTATTGAAAAGAAACTTGGGGAGGGTTCATGTACCTTGGGTCAGTAAGCAACCACCCATAACCCTAGCAAGTATTACCCACATAGAAACACCCTATGTAACACTACTATAGGACCTTGAACACTCTAGCATCTCAACACCCTAGTAACCATATAGAACATCTTAGTAATTTAGTTATTATTTAAAATTAAATAATTTATTTAAAATAAAAAAAATGCAAAAGTAATATAAATAAAATTGTTTCACTTTAAATGATATTCAATTAAGATCATATTCACAAAATCAAGGTTTTATCTCCTCTGCTTTCTCTCCCTCTCTCTCTCTCTTCTCAACGTGGGGAGTCTTGGAGATAGGAAATGCTGAGCCATAAATTGGAACATGTGAATGAAAGAGAGAGTGGGAGGGACGGGTGTAACAGGGGACCCCCTCTCCTCTTCCCACCCCTCTTATTTATCTCCTCAAGCATTAAACCTCCTGTATTCCCTCATCCCCCCACCCCAAAATTCCTGCCTACTGTTCTCCAGGCCAGATCAGCCCAGTACACACACTTTACTGGGCCCAGTAATGACCTGTGCCATTAACCTGCCGATCCTCTCACACCCTCTCTCTGTCACACACACACAAACACAGATTTATTGGCTTCCATAACAGAGTCTCATTACCCTTATGCCCCTGAAGACTGTGAGTGCTTCAGGGTGGTGTGGCATGGGAACAAACCAGACCCTAACAGTCAAACACACTCACATTAGAAAAGAGAGTTCAAGGTCTTGCCAAAGATATCTGAAGACATGTTATTTTCATTTAGTTAAGGCCTATTGATTCTGGTTTCTCCTGTATTCAACAAAATTAAATAAAGTTGACACAAGAAAGGTATATTTGGACTTTAATTTTCAAACCAACATATAGCATTACCTAAAAAAATATAAAACCAAGTGGCATTTTCTGAGAACTGACTATAACAAATAAATGACTAACCAACTAATCTCAAGTTCATTTTACTGGTAAATTAGTTTTTTGTCCTTTTGTTTTCACTAGCATTTCACAAACAGAAAGTGTCTAAATACTTGCTGTCTTAATTTTGAAACATCTTTTCAATATTTTAAAATAATATACTATGATATAATATCCCACTTGATATTTAATGTAATGCAATGACTGTCACATGTTGATAAAATTTTAATTTAATAAAATATTTTCTATACTGCCATATATATGCCACAAAACATACAGAAATAAAAAAATAAAAAACCCTGAATGACCTAATATGTCATGGAAAAAGCATTTATAAACTCCTTAGGGTTAAGAATCACGGTGCGTTTTTGCCTTCGGAGCAAGAATGTATCATGTTTCAGTTCTCAGAAGAGTCTGTGAAGTGCAATATAAATACACACTCACTCGCACTCTTGGGACAGAGAGAGTTCTCTCCAGACTGAAGAGAAGAGCAAACATACACATACTCACAATCATTCTCTCTCACACACAGACACGCTGTTTGGGCCGGGCGTCCCTGTCGGCGTGGCAATGACCCAGTGGCTCTTAGTTTGACCTGTGCCCCATCACTGCCCTGGGGCCCAGAATGCCAGTTAACACATCACAGAGCTTTCCCTTTTCACACCCTCCCTTTATTCTTCTCTTCTCTTCTTTCTCTCCGACGTGTTCTGCCCTTCTTGCCCCACAGAGGCGGCCGCGCAGCTGACAGGGAACAGGCTTTTCTCTTTCTCTCGTTTTCCCTCTCTCCTCTGTTCCTTCTCTTTCTTTTTCCTCCTCTTTTCTGCTTAATTGAGTTGTTTGGCAGACGGGCTTGTCAACCCGCCGCCACAGCGTGGGGAGTCTGTATGTGTGTATAGACACACACAGAGTGTGTGAGA